AGCATTGTCCAAGTTATAATGTAATGACCCCATTTTTAAACTTCGTGTAAACAGATATTATCAGGGTCGACTTAAGCTGTAGGCGAACTAGGCGATCATCTAAAGCCCCGTTCTAGGAAGGCCTCATATTTTTCATAGAATATATAATAATGATATCGATTTAATTTAATTTTTAATTATAAATTAAAATTAAAATATAAAAGAATATACTTATTTCTTTTCATAAATTTTTCTTATAATAATGAAAATTAAGACTACTAAAAAAATTATATAATAATTAATAGGCTCATAAAATTTTCAATTTTTTAATTGGCTTACATTTCAAATTTATTAACGTTAATTTTTTTTATTCATATTCCTTTGAAAGTTTCTTCAAAATATCAACTCATTAATATAGTCTCCTCAAAATTCTCCCTAGGTTGACAAGGTGGGAGACCTTCATATTTCTTTATATTTCTTTATTATTTTTTTTCACAACCAAAACTTTTAAACTTCTCTAAAAGATTTTATAAATATATTACCTACTACTACGTAGGTTATACTAAATCTCAATAGTCTCCCCCTCTCTCAGTACTCTGCCCCGTCCAACTCTCACTCTCAATCTCTCTCAAATCTCAAATTTTCATCTTGATCTTCTATGTGGTCTCGCGAGATTATCAATTGATAGAACCTAAATCGAAGCTTCTTATTTCCCCAACTTAACCTAGTGGCTTCAAAGTTCCAGGTTTTACGTTCAAATTCTTTTACTTTTTTTTTATTATTTCATATTGTAGATTGCTCAATACCTTAATATCTTAGATTTGCTTACTTAGAATATCAATATGTCTACAAGAAAATATGAATATGGATATGAAAAACTTAAAAAGAAAAGAACAATAGAAAAACTGATTGAATCTAAAAAAGGTGCTCTCGATAAATTTTTTATTGAAAGTAAAAGTAATAAAAATGATGAAATAATAGAAGAAATGATAGGTGTGACAAATCAATATATGAAACCAAAATTATAGATGATTATGATATGATTGTCGAAAATGAAGCGTCTAATCATGAAAAAAAAAACTAGCAAGCGAGGAAGAAAGTGAAAAAAAGAAAAAGAAAACACTGGTGATATTAGTATTGATAATGCGACAGGTATGATGCATTATGAATATAATATATATGATCCAGGAAGATGGAACAATATTGATTCTAAGTTAATTGATTTACTGGTAGAAAAATATCTCATTAGAGAAAGTAATTTAATTCTTCCAAAAGATGAAAATTCTAGATATTTTTCTAATATTCATTATACTGAAAAATTACCTAATGGCAAAAAACATGATAGAAATTGGCTAGTTTACTCAAAATATTTTGATAAAGTTTATTGTTTTTGTTGTAAGTTATTTGGTACTAAGTCTAATACAGTTTAATTAGGGAAGGAAGGAGTTAAAGATTGGAAAAATCTTAGTTCTCGACTTAAAAGTCATGAATCTAATAATGAATACATATGTAATATGAATACTTGGGTTGATCTAAAAATTATATTGTTAAAAAATAAAACAAAAGACAAAGATATTCATATATGAATGACAAAATCTATTATCATTATCTTGGACATAATATACAAAATGAACTCATACAACTATTAGGACTTGAATAAAAAATACAATTATTGAAAAAATTAAAGAAGCAAAATATTTTTCGGTTATATTAGATTGCACATCTGATGTAAGTCATCAATAATAAATGTCTTTTGTATTGTGGTGTGTTGTTGTTACTACAAGTCCAATAAATATACAAGAGTATTTTTTCAAATTTGTAAAAGTTGAAGATAGTACTGGAAAATATTTATTTGATGTGCTTATAGATACAATTAAGGATCTTAAACTTGATATATCTAATATAAGAGGACAAGGATACGACAATGGATCTAATATGAAAGGAAAACAACAAGGTGTACAAAAAAGATTATTAGAAATAAATTCTAGGGCATTTTATATACCTTGCGGTTGTCATAATCTCAATCTAGTACTTTCTGATGTGGCTAACTCATGTCATAGAGCTATGACATTCTTTGGAGTTGTACAACGTAATTATTCTTTATTTTCTTCATCTACAAAACGATGGAAACTCTTGCTAGATCATATAACCAATTTGACTATCAAATCATTGTCACAAACACGATAGGAAAGTCGAATTGAGAGTGTTAAAGCAATAAGATTTCAAACCCCTCAAATAAGGGATGCTTTATTGAAATTATGAGAAACTAGTGAAGATCCTAAAGTAAAAAGTGAAGCTAATTGTTTAGCTACCTATGAATTTGAAAATTTTTAATTCTTGTTAGGCATAACTATATGATATGATATCTTATTTGCGGTAAATTCTATGAGTAAAGTTTTACAACGTAAAGATATGAATGTTAATGTTCTTTAGATCACTTGAAAGGTTTAATGTCATTTTTAGTAAAATATAGAGAAAATGGATTCACAACTACTATGATTTTAGCTAAGTAAATTGAAAATGATATGGAAATACAACCAATATTTCGTGAAAAAATAATGATTCGAAGAAAAAAAAACAATTTGATGAGAATATTGATATTGAAGAAACACAATCACCTAAAGATTCTTTTAGAATTGATTACTTTTACTATATTATAGATCAAACAATTTCTTCACTTAAAAATAGATTTGAACAATTTCAAGTATATGAAAATTTATTTGATATGAATTTTTTAAAGTCATTAGATGATGATAATCTGAAAAGATATTTTATTAATCTTGAAAATACATTAAAACACCATACATTTTTTACATTAACAGTTTAGATTTATTTTTTGAATTAAAAATATTAAGGTAAGTCTTACAAAATGAAATTGATTGTCCTATTAAAATATTAAATTATATAAAAAAGGTAAAACACTTTTCCAAATGTATATATTGCTTATAGAATATTATTAACAATGCCGATAACAGTTGGTTCCGCTGAAAGAAGTTTTTCCAAATAAAAATTAATCAAATCGTATTGAAGGTCAAGTATGTCACAAGAAAGATTAAATGGATTGGTCATATTGTCAATTGAAAATGATTTATTAATGAACTTAGATTATCAAAATTTAATACATAATTTTGCATCTCAAAAAGTAAGAAAAATAAATTTCAAATGATATTTTCTATATTAAAGCCTCTGTATCAAAGTTTTGCCTAAGAATCCATATCATCTCGAGCTACCCCTGATGCATATAAGTACGATGCATGTGTTTGAGAGCATGAAATATTCCTGATGATGGGAATTATTACTTACTAAGTATTATTTTTATACTCACTCTTTGTAGTTTTAATTTTTTTTATTTTTTTTTACAAATAGTTATGCATATATGACGAGAACAACGTCGAGGATGACCTTGGCATTGATTATATGTTAGATGGAGGTATGCATGCATATAAGCACGTGTGTTTGAGCATGAAAAGTTCCTTATGATGGGACTACTTACTGAGTATTTTTATACTCATTCTATGTAGTTTCAATATTTTTTTTACAAATAGTTATGTAGTGACGAGAACAACGTTGATGATGACCTTGGCATTGATGAGGAGGAGATATGAAACACAGTTGGATTTTATAATTAGTAAGAAACATGTGTGGTGCACGTGAAATTTCATAGTTTTTATTTCAATGTTTATAAATATAAAATTTAATTAAATAGTTTAAATTTATAATATAATTTGGTTTTTTTGTCTATAAATGTTTACCTTACCAAGTTTTTTTTTATTTTCAATGTTTATCTCATAAAACAACGTCTCAATAATTCTCATCACCCACTGATGCGGTTAGTGTGAAAAGTATTATTCTTCAATTACTTAAATTTTTTTTCTAAAATAACATATATTCATGGATTTTTCATCTTTTTTTTCCCTAAACATAAGAATACATAAAAGTAAATACAACTTTCTTTCAATTTCTTATTTGAGTCATTGAAAAATAAAATGACAAAAAAAAATAGTGAGAGATAAAGATGCGTTCAGGATAGCCGTTCTTTGCCATGTACGAGTTCCGGTCCAATTCCTTGTCATAGCTCGCGGGGAATGCCAACCGCAGCCATGTTCCGATGGATTGCTCTGGCTATTTTCATCACACGATGATCACCTTTCCAAGGAGGAGGTCATTGAGAGAGTCCTCACGATTATCAAGTATCATCCCAAAGTGGATCTGTCCAAGGTAATTCGATCTTATCACTCATTTTCACTTTCTTTTTCCAGTTGATTGAGTCGTTTGGAAAAAAATAACTAAAAAAGTTGAATATTCAATCAAACAATCTAACTAAATATAAGAAAACACAAGAGATTGACTAAAGGAGAAAATTTACATACCGAAAGAGAAAAGAAACTCAAGTTTTTATGAAGAAAAAGTTAGGAGAAAGAGTAAGAAAAAACTCTTTATATAGTTGTAGAAAATAAAAAAGTTACGAAACTTTTGAAATTCTTTATTAATTATAATTCAAAATAAGTTATAAATTTTTAAAGAGACAAAACTCTCCCTATTCTAACACTTTATATTCTAACCTTTAAGAGAGTTTATTAGAAAAAGAAAATTAATTTGAGAAATGTAAAATTTGTAATGGACATTAAATTTTTTAAAAGAAATGAAAAAAAGAAAAAGGAAAGTGGCGTGGGAGGGAGAGAAAGGAGATGTGAGAGAGAAAAAAATTATATTTGAAGTACAAAATTGTCCTCAAAATATCTATGGGAACGTTGAAATTAAAAGCGCAAAATAGAGAGAAAATGTTTCTTCATATAGCCTTTTTTATATATACTATAGATTTATACTTTTAATTATGAATATACCATATTTTTACTTTGTTTTATTTAAGGATGATAATTTATGATTTCTGCTGCTAGAGATTTATAAGTTAAGTTTTATTAAGTTATCGTTTCCATTTTTAAATAAAAGAACAAGTTTTTATCTTATTTTATTTTAATGAAATTATGTTTCATGAGTAATTTTTTTTTTTTTGAAAAAGATTTATTGAGTAATTATCTTAATTGATATTATTAAATACATATATAAAATTGGGGTCATTACAACTATCACTATGATTGTTATTTCCCACACTAATGCACTTTTTGCTTCAAAATGAAGAGGCACGCGTAAGTTCAACTTTCTTGCATGCTTCCTCTTCTTCATGTGTTAGCTGGTGATGCACCATTCTTCTTGGTAACATAAGAGGCAGTTCTCTCTCATCCCTTTGTTTGCTTAGTTGCACAATACACGTAAACTTTGCTTGCTCATATGGTGTGGACCACAACTAACTCTCTTCTAATAAGATTGTGTCACACAGTGTTTAGATGCTGGTTTAACTTTTGGAGATATGAATTTGGTGCCTGGACACCCTGAAATACGTATATAAGTTTGAGGCACTTAAGTACATATCCATACCCATAAATACAAGTTTATATTTCTAAGTCAAACTGTGACAAAAAATGTGGGGAGGAAATGTGGTGAATCGCTTCGAGGGTATTGTAGAGTGTTTTGAGAGTTTTTTTTTTTTTCAGCGTAAAAAATAAAGAGCAACACTTTGTGGGTTCGTGTAAATCTTTATTGATATTCTTACAACCTCCAACGTTTGCAAAAGACTCGATGTAGTCCCACGTTCGAGTAGGCTAATACAAAAATCAATCTAATCTCTACCATTTTCTTATGTTTTCTTTTGTTGCTTGTATTAATAATTTATGGCATGTGGGAGTAAATTTAGGCCAATTGAAACCACAAAAATTCACAAATGTTAATTAGATTATCTAATAGAAAGGAAAAGTATTCCATTAAAAAAAATAAAATAATATATATATATATATATATAAAAGTGTAAGAATGGATGGCAATAATTAAGAACATTTCTTAATACCTCATCGAATAAAAAATATTACCATTCATTCGATTGACGCATTTGAGTTTTTTTCCCCAAAACATATGAAGTCATCATTAGGTAATTCACCAGGATCATCCACGTGGAGAGATGCACCATTATCAACACTTGTAAGGTTCAAAATCATGGGAGCTGCCTTCAAAGCCCTAACACAATTAATAAAATAAATAGTGCGAATATTTAATAATCTATTGTGCATTTACGCATAAAACACTGTTTCATGAATCAAAGTTATTGTTAATTATTTCTGTTTTTTATGATGAACAAAAAAATTAAAGTTTATATCAATCATAAAACCATTAAACAATAAAAAAAATACTTATATAAATATAAATTCTTAACATACTATTCCTTTTTAACATTTAAAAGAAAAAATAAATGTAATCTTGAAAAAGAAAAAATAGAGAGAGAAATAAATTGAAATAAACTAAAAAAAGGATACACATTTCGTTAACCAATGGCGTCTTTGGTGGTAGCATTCTCATTCCTTACCTCATGTTTTCTTTTTCTTTTTTAATTTTTTGTTTTCATCTTTCTTGCTTTCTTGTTTTCTATTTTAAAAAGAAAAAAATAAAACAAAAACGTATTTGATAATTATTTTTTTTATATTTTATTCTCTCTTTTATTGAAAAATAAAAAAAGAAGAGATGTATTTATAATAAAGATGGTTTGTTTAGTACTAACATATCGGATAAATGATCAAACTCACAATCTCTTGGTTGGTTGGAGCTATATATCAATTAGGACTAAACTATGCTCGCTTTGGCGATGAAAAAGATAATAGTAGCATGTATCTTTTTAATATTAGCGAAAATAATATTAAAAAGATAATTTTATATTCATTTTATTAAAAAAAAGACACATAAAACCAAAAATAGTTATCAAACAATTCTTTGATTATATTTTTTGTTTTTTGTTTTTTGAAAATATAAAACAAAAAGAGATTATTAAACCTATTTGGTTTTCTATTTTTTAAAAACCAAAAAAAAAACATTTATCAAACATACGTGGTTTTTAATTTTCAAAAACTAAAAATAAAAACAAAAAAATAGAAATAGTTATCAAACAGGCTCTAAGTTTGACCTGAAAAATAAATTTGCAAAAGCAAAATATTCAAAACTATCATGCTATGTTTAATATTTTATAAGTAAGAAAAGGATCACATAATAACTTTATTTATGTTTTTTAAAAATTTTAATGTAAGTAACCAAAATTTTATTATTTCCAAAATTTTAGACAATTTTGGAATGAAGAATGAGAACTTGATAATTGTGTATCTCTAGCGGCCATAAAAGATGAGAAACTAGAACCTTAGGCTGTTGGATACCATTATGATTTTTGATTTCTTAACTTAGAAGTTGAGACTCAACTTATAATTTAACCTTAAACATATTTTTTTATTTTTTTATTTTAATTAACAATCCTTGGTAGCTAGTAAATAAATTACCATTCTTGTGGAGATTGGTATTGAGAAGCTATACTGCCAAGATAGGAAACACTCCTCTCAGTATTTATAATGCCGGGATCTAATGCCACAATTGTCATTCCATTTGGCAGCTCTTTTGCAACTGATTTGCTTAAACCTTCTATTGCCCATTTTGAGCTACAATATGCTGAAGCCTGTGCAATAACCATTCAAATAATACCACAAAAATCATTTTAATTGGCTAAAAAAAGACTAAATACATGGTTCTACTCCTTATTTTTTTGAAAATTTTTATTTAGTTCATATGTTTAATAAGTTTTAATTTAGTCCCCTTGTATTTTAATATTTCTTTAAAAAGTTATAATTTGGTTCATGATAAACTTAATTATAATAATATAATACTTAGTGAATTTACTAAAATTTTGAGGAGAAAAAAGTTGTTTAAGAGAGGAAAGTTTCAAATTTGTTCTCCAAATTTCTTAAAAAATGGTAGAAAATTTAGAGTTTTCTTCCCTTAATAACATTTTTTCTTTTGTCAATTCGAGCATAGCTATATGAATAGGGCACTAAGGTCATGATTTATTCACACATGAAATTATAGAACTAAGAAATATATTTCCTCTTCCAATTTCCACCGATACACTACTTAATACGTCATATAAATTTATCTTATGTCAATGGTGGAGATTAAATTGAAAAAATTCTCAAACATTAAAGACTAAGAGTGTATTTGGATTAACTCCATAGATAGTTTTGGAAGATAGAAAGTTTTTTTTTGCGTTTACAAAATTAGAGTGTTTTTGTAACTAATAAAATCATTTTTTTAATAATTAAATTGGTTTGACATTTTATAGAAAGTATTTTAATTTTTTTTTTTGTCAAAATTTTTAATTCAAAGTTAGGTAAAACTTATTTTTTGATTTTTTTTAGTACAACAATTGTGGAGATTGGATCGGAGTTGGACCTTGAAGGAAGGAATCAGGTATCATAACCATTAATCTGAACTCATGTTATAAAGGAAAGTGACTCAAAAAATGGGGATTTAATTTTTTTGATCATCTATGAGAAAAGGCCAAATTTCATTTTGTCATTTTGTCACAAATTTTTCAAGTGTCAACACAAATCTTAAAATTCTTAAATTTTTTAGAATCTCAATGAAAATATTGATATTGATATTGATAAATATTCTAAAATATCAGAAAAAATATAAATTATAATAAAAAGTACTTACATTAATAGGAAATTATATTTTTCAAATTATAAAGCATATATAACAGTACTAATTTTAATACAGTCAATTTTTTTCCTTTTTCCTTTTTCTTTTTTCATACTTCAATACTTTTATTTTTATGTTTTACATTGCGTCAGACATCTCTATGATATTTTGAGGAAATAAATGTATTTTCAGGTCAATGTGAACCTTGCAACTAATACAAATTTTAATAAACTGTAATATTTCTTTTGTTGGCTTTTAACCTTTCAATTTATGAAAAAAAGTTTGTGAATTTTGTTTCCTATGAAAGTTTTACACTGCTTGCAATCGCAATATATACGTACCTGAACACCTCCCATTTTTCCAAAGAGAGAAGATATATTAACAATAATTCCTTGGCTCTTAGGAATCAACAGAGGAATGAAGTGACGCAAAATATTTACTGTCCCTTTTATATTTATGTCAATGACATCATGAAACATTTCTGCAGCAATCTCCCACATCTTCATTTTCTCACTCATGATAGCCGCATTATTTACTGTCAAAAGCCCAATTTTCATAATTACTATGATGAAATTGGAAAAACAAATTATAAAAGGGAAAAAGCTATAAATGAATATACCAATGATATCGGGAGCACCAATTTTATCCTTAACAGTCCGTGCCATCTCTCGAACTTTGTCGTTTGACCTCTACAAAATAAACTTTTTAAAAACACATGCACACACACGCACTATTGAGAAATAGGAAATGAGAGGTAATTACAAACCACGTCAAGGTTAAAGAGCAAATGGTTGCGTAGGGAAGCATCAGAGAGCTCTAGTTGAAGCGAATCCAATTTATTTTGACTGCGGGCGCATCCGATTATTGTGTGGCCACGCTTTGCTAATTCTAAAGCCAAAGCTCGTCCTATCCCTTGGCTCACCCCAGTAATTAAAATTGTTTTGCTTGAATCTCCTTCTTCTCCCGATCTGTTCCTTTGAGTCATCTGATCATTTGAATGGGTCTTTGCCATCAAACTGTCCTCAAGAAATTTAGGAATTCAGTCTAACAAAATCCAACGTAGATTTGGTTCACAACTTCAAATCACATGTAATTCTCATTGAAAAATGAAGTCATACATGTGATGTTTGAAGTAGGAAGGGAAAGCAGAAGGCTAGGATTGTATAATAGTGAAGAGAAATGTTTGAAGAGAAACTCTTTCCATGGAGTGGTTTCATTGAGTTGAGGATGATGAGCACCTCTATTTATACATATTAATATTTGAGGTTGTGGATAATTATGATATTTCTCAAGAGTTCTAGACAATTCTAAAATAATACAAACTTATATATTCTACAGAGACGTAAACTGAAAGTTATTTTTGAAATTTATATTTGAAATTTTGGTTGGAAAATTATAATGTTTTTTTAAGTACACCATCAAGGGGTAGGATTCGAATTCACGACCTTTTGATCAGATATATATATCTTAACTAGTTAATCGATCTATGCTAAAGTTGGATATAAACAAAATATAAATGATCTCTTTATAAACTTAGGTTTTATCATTACAGAAATCAAACTACATTTAGGATGAGACTTGATTTTTAAAGACTTGTTTTTGGGAGATTTTTTTTTTTAACGCATTTAAATAGCTGATTTATTTCTTAAGTAAATAAGTTAATTCTTTCTTTCTAAGATCATGAGAATTTGTGAATTCGACATTAATATCATATATATATATATATGTTCCTTGAGAAATTTCCATTTCTTTTTTTTAGTTTGGAGAGAGAATTTTTAAAATATTTACCAATTAAATTAAATGAGGATATTAATTCTAACTTATCACAATTCTCTTGTGTGGATGTGGTCCTTCTCTATATCTATCCAACCCAATTGAATAATGACACTACTAGGTTTATCTCCACAATGCTATTGTGTGGATTTGATTTGATTCTCCACATCTACCATCTTGTCGTATTTAATTATGCATATCTATAATCTTGTCGCATTTAATTATATGAATATGTTTAATTATGTTTTTGTATATGTACTTGTAAATGGACATATTTTACCCGTTCGAAAGAGTTGTATGGGTCAAGACATATATATCCTCGATGGAAAGGTCGCAGGTTCAAATTCTCGCCCTCAAATTTATTATAAATATTATATTAATTATTGATTAGTAATTATCAACAATAATAAATGTATAGGATCTCAACAAGATTAGAATACATAAGGTTAGAATACAAAAAGTTTTATACACCATAGAATTAAATTATTTTCTTCAGTTACAAGTCATATTGGAATTTCAAAAGTTTTGTAAGGTTATTTTATCTCCTACCAGTATAAAAACATACTTTCTTTACTATTTTTTCACAACACTTAATTCTCTCACAATATTGCTCTCAAATATTATTAAATCTAAAAAACATCTTAAAATCATGTTGGTGGCATCAGTGGCGGATCCAGAAATTTTGTTGAGGGAGGGCTTCAATTAATTTATAAGTAAGTAATTTTTTAGAATTCATAAAAGTATGATCTTGAGGCTGACAAGGTTATTTTTGTAAATATTTTTTACAAACTTGCTCTCAAATATTACAATTGTAAAATCATCCGTTGCTGATAAAAAATTTTAGTTCGGTTGTTTTTTTTTACTAACTATTATATTAAAAATAACCTCAAATTCATAGTAACTAAAGTTAAAAAAAATGTAGCTTAGACAATTAATCTCAAAATTGTCAACTTATTTGGACTCTGCAAAATTCAAAATAAAAATTATATAAAAGAAAAACTCTAAAATTTGATAAAAAAAAAGCAGCAACAATTAAAATATGTAAAAAATTTGGTGTATTTATAGAAAGAAATTTTTATAAAGATTTTTTACATAGTATATTTTATAGTATAGTATTCATTTTTATAATTTAATTATATACATATAGACACACACAAAAAAAAAGGCAAGAAATTTTTTAACAAAAATAATGCATTCCCTGAGGCTCGCTGGCAACCTAGGGGGGCTCGAGCTACCGTAGATCCGCCCTTGGATGGCATATTCATCAAGTTTCAGAGAACATGTCAAATCTATATCTTGAATCCAAGGCTTGCGAGGTTATCGTTAGATAATTTATAAGATAAAATAATAGTGATTGTCAAGCATCAACATATTTTAGATGGGTGTATATCTAAAGTTTGATTTTTTTTTTGTTACTATTGTTCTTTTATTGTTCTTTTATAATGAGTGTTTCATGTACTTATCATGTTTTTGATCCGTTACTAGCTCATGAGAAAAAAATTCGTGTAAGGACATAACAAAGATTTTAATTAATGGTAAATAGTAAATTAATAAATTAATTATCAACAATAATAATTTGTATGAAATCTAAAAATTTGGAATAAATAACTTTTTGTCTCTTCCTTCTCCAATAATATAATTTAAAGATTTTTAATAATTTTAATTATTTAATCTATCTAGTTATTTTAATAACTTTTTGTTTTTTAAACTACTTATATATTTTTTAATCTATCTATTAAAAATATAAAATGTAACCTAAAATTCATTAAAAAGAAGTGGTATGAAATCATGCAATTTAAATAAGCGCATATATTATAAATTATTAAATTAGTAAAGTACCTATATTTTAATCAAATTTGCATATATATATTTTCTTTTTTGGTTATTATTTTACTATTACTAAGGTTGTTTTTTCTCATTTGTTTATTTGTTTATGTTATTATAAAATTAAGTTAAATTGAAAATACTAAATGCATTTGCACATAGTATCGAACTAGTATCTCTAAAGATACGAAAGAAAGTAATTGCATAAAGTAGGTATGTCTAAAGTTGGCCAACAAATCGATCCGACTGATCGAAACTGATCGAACTGGTGTCGATCGGTCAATTTCCAGCCTCTGTCGGTCGGAGGTCGATTTTAATAATATAAAAATCGACCGATATGTGTATAAATAATAATAAAAAAAAAGGTGATTCACGCTGGTCATTCACGTGAATGGTCCTTTATTAATTTTTTTTTAATTTAATCCTTTTAAATATTTATTTCATTATTTTTTTTATTACCTCTCATTTTCATTCCAGACCCTTTATCAATCTTCACTTCCTTTCTTTCTATCATTTCTTTTTCTTCTTCTATTTTATCTTTCTTCTTTCTTCTTTTTTCTACCTTCCAAAAATTTCAAATTTCAGATTTACCTTTTTATTTCTCCATTTTCATTTCAGGTTCGTTCTTATTGTCTCATCTTCTCTTTTATTTTCCTATTCTCAAATCTCTCTTTTTCTCACTGAAAATCTTTGCCACAACGATAATGGATATAACTTTTTTCTATTGCAAAGGTTGGGAGAAGATCAGTCCAAGATATGTAGAAAAACCAAAATGAAAAAAATAAAAAACAAAAGAAAAACAGTCGGTTTGTCGAAAACCAACCCGACCGATCCACGTGTGCCCTGCCATAAAGGGAAGAAATAATTGAGTTGAAAAAAAGGTGATTAGCAGCCTCCAAATATAGAGGATAAAAAGAGGAAAAAATGGTCACCGTTGTCTTTGATGAGTCTGCAGGTTTGTACAAGCTGTCATTGCTGGTTTATTTTCACGTTGAAGGCAACAATAGAGTAACAAATCTTTACACCAAAATCAAGAACTCATCGAGTTGTCATGAGATAATTAAGCCTATTACATTGTAGAATATGGCTTGCGTGTTAAATTATCAGTCAATTCAAAATTTTAAGCTTTTTAATGTGGTAAACTGAATTATTTTATGTGATTTCTAATCCTCTCTGGGTTTGTGGGCTTCCAACACAGGAACTATTGTTTTAATACATATCAATATTCGTAGAGTTTCATTTCAAAATAAATTGGTGACGACAAGATAACTCATATATCTTATAAGTCTTGTTAGATCTCTCGATCTTTTCGATATGTGGTCCTTAAACATGTTTCTTCTGAATGGTAACTTTTTTTGGGCTCGTTTGAGCTTATTAGACTCTAATACAGGGGTAAACATGTTAGATATAAATGAACCCAAAAGCTTAAGCTTATTAGTTAGGATAAACTTAATCATTTTATAGCATTTCTAACAATATTTATCTAAATTATTATTCAATTGATGAAATTCATGTTAGAACTCAAGAAATTTAGATGAAAAGGCCGTTGTTGTGCCATGGAAATGACTACCGCCTTGAAAGTAATTTTGGCACCACCTTGGTGCTACAGTGTATGTTTGTCGGTTGTTCCCCAAGGTTAACACAACATCTAACTCAGAGTGCACTCATATATTTAATTAAACCTTTATTTTTAATCATATTCAAAGGTATATTTTTCTATAACCTATGGTTTTAATTGGAATTTCATTCACATTAATTTTAATCTATAGTTTTAATATGAATCTAATTCATATTAATCATTATCTGAATCTTATTCAAATATAACTCTCATATTATATAGTTTAATTATGAATATCATTCCGAATTAACTTTATATTATAATGTATCTATAGAAATTTTATTAATTGTATCTTATACAATTAACCTACATTCCCGTAAAAAAGTTAAATCCCTCACATTATTTCACAAGTTTTCTTGTTTTACCTACTGTGTGATAGCGGTGGGACCTAATGGACCTACAGATCAAAATCTCCAACATACAAAACTAAATAATTAAACTCATTAACAAAAATAACCAACATTCGTTAACTGTGAGTCACTCTACTAAAGACCCACAGTTGCACTCTTCGCACTGTATAATATTTTGCGTCCATGGATATTGACCATTAACAGTAACGCAATCTTTCACGAGTGTTCGTAACTTCAGATGGGTCAAATTACTGTTCAAGTCCTGAAATTTTGCGTTCATGGATATTGTTCAAGTCCTGAAATCAGCACTTAAGAGAACACTCATCTAGTTACCCTAAAGCCAGGAAGGAATGAATTGCATCTTGTGTAGTTACGTTCCTAGCTCCCCACTTGGTCTTGTCCCCAAAATAGTAGGAATATTGAATCAGTGGCCTGAGGCACTCTCACCATACAACTCAAAGGACGATCTCTTATAGGCAAGAGTCCATAACTCATTCAAGATTGAGATTGAGTTACCTAGTCTTCCTATGAAATAGTAATCTATTAGTTAACAGTGTTAAAACTAATGATTAATTATTTCGCGGTCCGGTCTTATACAAACTCATTGCATAGGATACCCCCACTTGCATGTCTCCACATGAATGATTTGGGTTAAGTTGTTTGTAAC